AAATAATAACAGTAATAGTATAGGTGGAAGAATAATTTTGATGCATCTAACATGAAGTGAAATATATACGGTTTTAAGTTCAACAAAGAAAAGTATGAATATCATGACCATGGCCATTGAGCATCTATCCACATGCACCATCGGTTTTTGTTCTCCTCTCCACCAGTAAGATTTTGATGGTCCTTAGCCTGCCTGCTAGGAGAGCAGCATAACTTCTGGTCTCTCGATAACGCATCTTCTCTGTATTTGGGCTTACTATACTTTGGGTGATCTAGGAAGGCAACATTTTTCCACCAAAGCTTCAGAGCCTGAAGAAAATGCACTAATTGATTCAGATTACATGTTCTCATAGTGAATGGAAACAGAGAGCCTGAAGAAAATGCACTAACTGATTCAGATTACACATTCTCATAGTGAATGGAAACAGAGAGCCTGACGAAAATGCACTAATTGATTCAGATTACATATTCTCATAGTGAATGGAAACAGAGATGATATAACCTTGTACATGGTCCGCATATTGAAAAATTCAAAATAATTGGTATTTACATGGCATGAAAATATTACACTCAGCAAGATAAGACATGGAGTTTATAAAGCGAAAAGTGTAAATGAATGTTGCGGACATCCATATTGTCGTTTCGTTTCAGTGGCAGACCCAAAACTTTTTTTTAATTTTTTTTATTTTTATTTTTAGTGTGTGCGGGCTTTTTTTGGGTGGTGGGGTGGGGTGGGGGCAAAAAAATTAATACATAAACACGACAATATGTAAAAAGAAACTGCATTATTCATTACTTGATTCAATACATGCCGTACCAGAAAGAAACTTCATATTACTATTATCAAAACAGTAAGATAAATATCTATAGACATATTGAATAGCTCAACTCAATAGTGATGAAGATTTTTGGGCATTCGAACTCTACACTTTGATCTACCAATCACAAAATCATCTTCCATGTCCGGGATCACTACCTCAAGCAGATTACAAAAATCACAACTTGTTTTAAACAACTCATCCCAACAATCTTATCTCATTTATGGCAATCTTTGTTTCACTACTTTGACAAAATTCACGGCATCTGCAAGGTCCTAGTCTCTCCTTTGTGATGTTTGCGAAAAGTCATTGATAATTCCCAAAATATTCTTGATCAAGTGACAAGGGCAGACCTATATGGGGCTTGAAAAATTAAAAAATACGGATATTACTTATTTGCAAATTTTAAAAATGATGGGAGCCTAAGATGTAAAGTGTTTGCACTAAAACAGAAGCTCTCACGAGCTTCTTATCGGAAGCAATCGAATAAAAAAACAAACAGAAGCCAAAGGTTTTTTCCAACTCTCAGGAACTTCGACTATGAACCCTCAGCTCTCCTCCTACCTTCGAAAATCATCTCATCCCGCAATCCAGTGAGTTTTCTAACTTTAAACTTCTTCCCCATTTGATTTTCTCAAATTGATTTTGTAGGATTTTAGAATTTAGGATTTCTAAATTCTTCCTCTTTTAATTTGTCTAATTTTCCCTCTTTAGTTCTATCAGTTTTTATTTATGTAGAATTTAGGGTTTAAGATTTCCAAATTTTCCCTCTTTGGATTTGTCCAATTTTTCCCTCTTTGGATTTGCTTAGGTTTTCGCTTTTTAGGCTTTGATTTCAATAACATGCCCATCTCAAACATAATAATCCAATAGTCTCAAACAATGTGCTTTTGAGGTAAAGATTTCTATTCATATACCATCCATTAGCTTTATAACACGTTATCAGCATGAGACTATCCCGTTGTGGCACAACAGTTTGTTTTTGAGGTAAAGATTTCTAATCTCTATATTATATATTATATTGATTGAGAATTTGAACATATTGACACATTGAGAAACTTTTCTTGGTTCTTCTTGGATTAATATATTTTACTGATATAAATATTGGTTCAGTTAAGGATCGATTTTCATCATGTAAAATTTTACATTGATATTAGATTTATTCGATGCAAGATATAAGATTTTTTTTTTATTATGGATCATATATCATGCTTCATATGCTCAATTTTATATAAATAACTTATTAATTCAAAAATAAAATATCATGTCTTCAGTCAGTCTAATAAAAAAAGGAGTACTTAATCTAATTTTCTAGTTGGATTATTTATATTTTATTTTGCATATTTATTGGATGCATGCACATGCCATCACCTACGTCTTATGAACTCTGTCTTGTTTGTTTCTTTGTAAATACTTATGAATTTTTGTAACTATAAATTGATCATATACTACCTTGTTTTTTATAATAGCATCATGGCAAATTTGGCAAAGCTTGAGTTTGTAGACATCACAGGCAAAAATTATTTATCATGGATACTTGGCGCTGAAATCCATCTGGAAGCTAATGCCCTTGGAGATACAATTAAAGATGGTAATGATGCATCCAATCAGGATAAAGCAAAAGCAATGATTTTCCTTCGACACCACCTTCAAGAGGGCCTGAAAGCGGAATATTTAACGGTAAATGATCCCCTTGTCCTTTGGAATAGCCTAAAAGAGAGGTATGACCACCAGAAGACGGTTATTCTTCCCAAAGCTTGTTATGACTGGATGCATTTACGTTTACAAGATTATAAAACAATAAGTGCATATAATTCAGCTATGTTTCGAATTAGCTCCCAGTTAAAATTATGTGGGGACAAAGTCACTGATGAGGATATGCTGGAAAAGACTTTTTCTACTTTTCATGCATCAAATTTGCTCCTGCAGCAGCAATATCGTGAAAAGGGTTTTAAGAAATATTCTGAATTGATTTCTTGTCTTCTCGTGGCTGAACAAAATAATGAGCTCCTGATGAAAAATCATGAAGCACGTCTAACTGGTTCTGCTCCGTTCCCTAAAGTGAATGTGACTACGTATCAGCATCATAATCAAACACAAGGCCGTGGTCTTGGTCGTGATCGTGGCCGTGGGCGCGAACGTGGTCGAGGTCGTTTAGGTCGTTTTGATAATCGTGGTGGTTATTTCAAAAATCCATCTCGCCACCTGAAGTCGGAGAGAAATGAGAAGAAATTTGGGAAGGATAAAGGGGACACAAACAAAGGACTCAAACAAAAATTCAGTGAAAATCTCATGTTATCGTTGTGGAATGAAGGGCCATTGGTCGCGTATCTGTCGTACACCGAAGCATTTTATTGAGCTCTATCAAGAATCACTAAAAAGAATGAGAAAAATGTGGAAACAAATTTCGTTACTGAGTGCAGTCCTTCTAATGATCTGGACGTTGTTGATTTTTTCATCCAACCGAAGGAAAATATTCCTTATTTGATTGATAGCAATAATGTTCAAGGATAATAATATTATTTTCATAAGCAGAATGTTTACATTATCAAATAAATATCTATGTAATGCTTATGCTATCAAATAAATACCTATGCAATAAAATAAAAGTCTTAATCAATATTTATGTGTTTTAGGTGCAATATGAGTTATGACTTTCATTTTTTTTTACATTTTCTATATTTTATTATGTATTTATTTTCTTTGCTTTAGCGCATGTCACTCTTTCAATGAAGAATATGGAATTATCTCCGATTAGACCTTTTATTGATGACAAAAAATTGTGCCTCATCGACAATGCAACAACACATAATATACTTAAGGATTTGAAATACTTCTACTTAAAGAAGCAAGCAACAAATGTCAGTACAATTTGTGACAGTGCAAACCTAATTGAAGGCTCTGGAAGAGCTCATATCATATTTACCTAGAGGAACAAAATTTGTAATTGATGATGCCTTATATTCTGAAAAGTTTCAACGAAATTTATTGAGTTTTAAGGATATTTGCAAGAATGGATATCATATGGAGACAACAAATGAAGGCAATGTCGAATATTTGTATATTACGACTATTGTTTAAGGTAAGAAAAGTGTACTACAAAAATTGTCTGCATTTTCTTCTGGTTTATACTACATCAATATTGACAAAATTGAGGCACATGCTACAATAAACCAGAAGTTAACTAATCACAATGAGTTTATAGATTGGCATAACCGGTTAGGTCATCCCGGTTCAATTATGATGCGGAGGATTATAGAGAATTCATGTGGACATTTGGCATAACCGGTTAGGTCATCCCGGTTCAATTATGATGCGGAGGATTATAGAGAATTCATGTGGACATTCATTGAAAAATCAGAAAATATTACAAACAAATGAATTCTCATGTGTTGTTTGCTCTCAAGGCAAATTAATTACTAGACCGTCACCGGCTAAGATTGGAACTGAATCCCTTGGATTTTTGAAACGCATACATAGTGATATTTGTGGACCTATACATCCACCAAGTGGACCATTTAGATATTTTATGGTTTTAAATGATGCTTTAACTAAATGGTCACATGTATGCTTATTATCAACTTGTAATTTGGCATTTGCAAGACTACTAGCTCAACTAATCCGACTACGAGCTCACTTTCCAGACAATCCGATTAAAAAAAACTATACGACTTGATAATGCTGGTGAATACACTTCTCAAGCGTTCAATAATTATCGTACTGCTATTGGAATAACCGTTGAACATCTTGTAGCACATGTTCATACTCAGAATGGCCTTGCAGAATCATTTTATAAAACGAATTCAATTAATTACCAGACCATTACTCATGAGAGCAAAACTTCCTATATCTGCATGGGGACATGCTATCTTACATGCAGTAACACTTATTCGCATTAGGCCAACAAGTTATCATGAATTCTCCCCATTACAATTGGTTTATGGTCAGAAACTAAATATTTCACATCCAAGAATTTTTTAGATGTGCAGTTTATGTTCCAATTGCTCCACCACAACGCACAAAGATGGGACCTTAAAGGAGGTTGGGAATATATGTTAGGTATGGATCTCCATCTATAATTAAATATTTTGAACCGTCTACAGGAGATTTATTTACGACACGTTTTGCCAATTATCATTTTGATGAGACACTTTTTCCAACATTAGGGAGAGAAACTAAGCAGCTGGTAAAAGAAATTAGCTGGAATGAATTATCATTGTCCCACCATGATCCTCACATAAAACAATGTGAACAAGAAGTTTAAAAGATAATTCATTTACAAAAATTAGCAAGTCAACTGCCAGACGCGTTTACTGACCCAAAAAGAATGACTAAGTCATATATACCAACTGCAAATGCTCCTGTCAGAATTGTTGTTCCTGAAGGACAACCTATCACCGCTAATGAGATAAATGGACAAACAAAGTGTGGTAGACCAGTCGGTTGCAAAGATAAAAATCCTCGTAAAAGAAAAGGAGCAAAGCATACAAATGACCAAGTTGAGGAAAATGTTGCTCAAGAAAAATTCTCCGCAAAGCATACAAATGACCAAGTTGAGGAAAATGTTGCTCAAGAAAAATTCTCCAGTGAGACTCTAGATGAGTTAGTTCCTGAGGAAAATGTTGCTCAAGAAAAATTCTCCAGTGAGACTCTAGATGAGTTAGTTCCGAAAGAGAATCAAGTACCTGAAAGTAAAGAAAATGAAGAGATCTCTATCAATTATGGGAATGATGGAACCGAAATGAAATAATCGTCAACGATATTTTTGCATATCATGTTGCGCAAAATGTTATAAATGAAAATGAGGATCTTGAACCAATGTCTATGAAGGTGTAGACAACGAGAAGATTGGCCGAAATGGAAAAATGATATAGATTGTGAATTAAAATCTCTAACGAAGCATAAAGTTTTTAGACGTGTTATTCAAACACCTGCTGGTATAAAACCTGTATGATATAAATGGGTTTTCGTGCGAAAACGGAACGAGAATAATGAAGTTGTTAGATATAAAGCACGATTAGTTGCCTAAGGATTCTGACAAAGACCCGGTATTGATTATGAAGAGACGTATTCTCTTGTGGTGGATGCAACAACTTTCCAATATTTAATTAACTTGGCAGTTTGTGAAAAACTTGAAATGCGTCTCATAGATGTAATCACAACCTATCTGTATGGTTCACTTGATAATGACATTTATATCAAAATCCCGGAAGGATTACAGTTGCATGAAAAGTATAACTCTAATCCGAGAGTTTTATTCGAAAAAACTGCAAAGGTCTCTATGGTTTAAAGCAAGCAGGACGTATGCGGTACAACCGCTTAATTGAGTACTTGTTGAAACAAGGTTATAATAATGATCCTATTTGCCCTTTGTGTTTTTACAAAGAGATCTAAATCACAATTTGTGATTATTGGAGTGTACGTTGATGATTTAAACATCATTGGAACTCCTGAAGAGCTTCAAAAGGCTGCAAATTGCCTAAAACTGGTATTTGAAATGAAAGATCTTAGCAAAATAAAATTTTGCCTCGGCTTGCAGATTGAACATCTTAAGAATGGAATTTTTATACACCAATCTGCTTATATATCAAAGATACTTAAAAGATTTTAAATGGATTAGGCACACCCACTAAGTACTCCAATGGTCGTGAGATCACTTGAAATTAATAAAGATCTTTTCCGACCTAAGAAAAATAATAAAGAACTGCTTGGTCCTGAAGTACCATATCTGAACGCAATAGGTGCACTAATGTATCTTGCTAGTTACACTCGACCTGATATATCATTTGCTGTGAATTTATTAGCAAGATATAGTTCGTCACCTACAAGAAGACATTGGACAGGGGTTAAACATATATTTCAATATCTTAAAGGTACAATAAATATGGGTTTATACTACTCTTATTTGTCCAAATCAGAGTTGGTAGGATATGCAGATGCAAGTTATTTGTCTGATCCTCAAAAGGGACGGTCACAAACGGGTTATGTCTTCATATATGGTGGTATTGCTATATCTTAGTGTTCTACCAAGCAAACAATTGCGGCTACATCTAACCATGCAGAAATTCTGACAAATCATGAAGCAAGCCGAGAGTGTGTCTAGCTCAGATCAATAATCCAACACATTCAGAAGACATGTGGGTTGTCCTCTCAAATGGAGGTACCAACAATTTTGTATGAGGATAATATAGCATGTATAGCTCAATTGAAGATGGGATATATCAAAGGTGATAGAACAAAACACATTATCTCCAAAGTTCTTCTTTACTCATGATCTTCAAGAGAATAGTGTTATTAATATTCAACAAGTTCGATCTAGTAATAATCTCGCCGATTTATTCACGAAGGCACTGCCTACAAAGAGATTCGAGGAACTAGTCTACAAAATTAGACTACGAGCGTTCAAGGGCCTCGAGTGATGATCATACAGGATAGGGATGTAGACAAAAGGGAAGCAAGTATTGTAATTTTTTTCTTTTCTTTCTAACAAAGTATTACCTCAAATGATGAATAAGAATAATGTACTCTTTTTGCTTCACTAGGGTTTTTCCCATAGGGTTTTTCCCATAGGGTTTTACCTAGTAAGGTTTTAATGAGGCATATTCTTGGTTGAATAAATAGACATCTAAGGGGAGTGTTATAATATTATTATTATGAATGTCCATTGGTATTCCAAGGAGTTATAGTAGTACTAATTGTAGATGTCTATTGACATTCTCAAGTAAATTCTCAGAAATATGATGCATGTAATATCTCCCTTTCACATGCCTATAAGTAGATGGCATGAGATTGTATTTGTAAGTGAAGAAAAAAGAAGAATTGAAAGATTGAGTGCTCATTGTCTTCTCTCTATTCTCTTTACTCATATCGCTATCCATTAGCTCTATAACAAGAATTACTTTGTTATTGTTGTTTTGACTTTTGCAATGAAAACAAACTAGGTTCAAAGAACCTTAATTGTTCCAATTTGCATTTACTCGAGAATAGACTTCATGTACTATCACCATATTCACACTTTGGCAATAGTATTGGGAGTCTATCTGCAACAATTGAACTAGAGGACTTCTATCCACAATTTCGCAATAGTTATATAGTGAAAATTTCTAAACAAAGTCATAAATATATATATGAATTATATCATCGCAACTGATAATTTAAAGCTTTTGAAAACTATATATTTTACCTTATTTCAATCATGCAACGAT